TAGCCCTGGCTGTCCTGGAACTCACTCTGTAGACCAGGTTGGCCTCGAACTCAGAAATCCACCTGCCTCTGCCTCCCAAGTGCTGGGATTAAAGGCGTGCACCACCACCGCCCGGTCAGAAATACAATTCTTACTGGGCATGGCCACACACACCTTCAATCCCAGCACTTGGGAAGTAGAGGCAGATGGATCTCTGAGTTCAGGAGCAACCTAGTCTACATAGTTCCAGGACAGCAAGAACCATACATAGTAAGATCCTATCTCAAAAGGAAACACACACGTATATACATTTCCCTGAACACTAGAGGAGATTCTGCAGAAGCCACTCCAGAGCCTTGAAACTCACTCTTCCCTGACAGTAGAGTCCCCGTCCTACTGTTTGCCTCTGGTTTCATTGTCATTCTTTATCCTTACTCTAAATGCAGAAACTCTACTGTTGACTTGGTAGAAACTCAGGAGAAAGGTAGAGTAAAAATTGGTTCTGTTTACAGGCTCAGCCCTGGCAATAACAGGCAGTCTTCCAAGGTCTTTTTTTTAAAATGGTGCTGGGGTTTGAGCCCAGGGTCTGCTCAGCAAGGGCTTTGTCACTGAGTTATATCCTCTAATACAGCCCTTACCCCTTAACTCAAGGTGTCCACAGTGCTGTAGAGGGAATGTAAAAGTTTCAGCAATTTAAAGAGTAAAATATCAGGGCCTGGAGAGGTAGCTCAGCAGTTAGGAGCACTGTCTGCTCTTTCAGGAGTCCCGGGTCCCCAGCAACCACCTGATGCCGTCTTCTGGCACGCAGGTGTACATGCAGCTAGAGTACCCATAGACAAAATAAGTAAATAAATCTTTAAAAAAAAAAAAGAGTAGAAATATCTACAAGGTACAGGAGTACCCATCTGAAGAGATTTGTGTTGGGCACTTGCATTGGACCCAAAAGATTCAAACAGTACAGGGTTTTGGTTGTTGTTTGGTGGTGCTAAAGCGTGAACTCTGGGCCTTGTGTACTCTCCCATGTCCAGCCCCAGTGTAGGATTAACACAGTGACATTAATTTTGGTTGTTGGCAGGAAGCACTGTAGTCAGTTAACTAACCTGTAAACATTTAACTAGTTGAGGTATAACTGTTGACCGATTGATGACACCATAACTAAGTTGTTTTCTGTGCTTCTGGGTAGGCTGCAGGTCTCTGAAGTGGCTCTTTGGAAGAATGCCTTGTTCACAAATCAATATGTCTTTGCTTTTCCTCAGATAAACTTCATTAAATGTAAATTTGGTTTTTCTTTTAACAGTATTGTTGTCATTCTGAATGGATGTGACTTCCCTTCCTTTATATGAAATAGGAATTAGGAGAAGAGTAAACCGGTTTTAAACTGCAGTGCTAAACTAGGTTAGCACACCTGGGCTCATGAGCCCTTAGTGGACAAGCACTGTTTCACATAGCCCTTCTTTTCAGTTCTAGGGATTGAACCCAGGGGTTCCAATGAGGCAAATCCTTTATCAGTGAGCTACATCATCAATCCTGTGTGCCATATTAGCTTTTGGAGGCCCAGGGGACTGACTCACTGTCAGTGTATAAAGGTGACTCCTGTGCTCTTTACCAGTGCATGATTTGGCCACATGTGTTAATATAGAAAATCATGTTTTTCCCAAACACCTACCCATAACCAGCTACACTTGAGCAGAAGGCAGGCTCACTTAGACAGAGGTGGTGTAGCATCCCTTGTTCTCTCATTGAGTGCCTATTATGCATGCAGACCTGGGAGTACAACGATTCTGAGAATTCCTGCCGTGGTTGAGCATACGTTTGAATGGTGCACTCTGGGCACACGCTCTGCCTCCACTCGGTGTCTCCTCTCGCTTTGGCTGATCTCTGAGTGCTCATTTCCCATCAGAGGCCTCTGGGAAGCTGTCTGTGGTCGAGTGTGTCACCAGCTCCCTGCAGCCTGCCACTGTACCCTCACTCCTTAGTCCTCTACTGTGGAACCTTTCACACTCCCGTGTCCAGCTGCTGCCTTGCTAGGTCACTCTTGACTCCTTGCTTCACGCTCCTTCACCTCGCAGTTAAGCCATGCTTCCTCCGAATCCATTCCTGTGCTTAGCACAGACAGGCCCTTTGTCCTGTCAGTCAGCTTGCTCTGAAGGGAGCACATGCTCCTTGCTTCATCCTGCTGCTCATCTTGGTCACATCTGGGTTTTCAGCTTTGAGGAGTTTTTGTCTCTACTAGAATTCCCACAGGACAGGTAAATGAGAAGAACGGAAGCCTAGCCGCCCCCATGCTCACCAGTGGAGGACACAATGTATATGCAATATTGTCAGTTATCTGTGGTGTGGATCTGTTTCATGTCTTATCACAGATGAGAAGACCAGTTGATCTGCCTGAACCTGTCTTTCTATTTATGTTAATATGTGGAACGGTCCCATTATGATAACCTGGATGGTTCATAGTCTTTCCTGACTTAATTTCAAACATCAGAAGCCTGTATACATTTCACTCAGGGTTAGACCAGATTCTTTTCTTAGAAAGTAATCAATTCTTTAGTGTGTATATGTGTACATGTTTGTGTGTCTGCATGTATGCATGTGATGGCTAGAGGTCTACCTCAGGTATAGTTCCTAAGAAGCTGTCTACTTTAGTTTTTGAGCTAGGGTCTCTCACTGGTGCCTGAGGCTTGCAGAGTAGAGTAGCTGACTAGCAAACCCAGGGATCTCCATCATCTCTCCAGCGCTGGGATTACAAAGTTGAGGCACTATGTACAGCTGTCTGTGTGGGTGCTGGGAGTTGAAGTCAAGCTTTCATGCTTGCTTGTGTGACAAGCACTTTGCCAACAGAACTGTCTCTATCTGGCTCCCCAATTCCTCACACCCTTTTTAAGACAAGGTCTTGTACAGGGAGTTGTAGCTTACATCTTCCTCACTCGTGCTGTTCAGAAGAAACCAACTGGCTGATCAGAAGGGGTGTGGAGGGAGTCTTTGAGACTAGGACAGGATTAGAGCCTGCTCACAGGCCTGTACCTTTGACCTGAATTGTCAGGTTCGATGACATGCCTGGGCTGAAAACTTTACTTGGCAACACTGTTGTCTGAATAAAGTTTTGTTTTATTTGAAATTCAGCAACTGATCATGTGTAAAATAACAACATTGTATGCAGGACTCAATTTTATGTGCTTTTTTTTTTTTTAGTACAGCCCACAGAGTGACCTAGATTTGATTCAGGTTTGAAAATGGAAGGGAAGTTTAAAAAGTAAAGGAAGAAACAGCAAATGTGCTGAACTGGACATATATGATGCATTTCGGTACACACCTGTGGTCTCAGCCACATGGGCTGCTGTAGTGGGAGAACCATGTGGACCTAGGAGTCAAAGCCCAGCCTAGACAACAGTGAGACAGTCTATTAAAAAATTCCATGTGATACCTTTTAATGCTTTCTTTGCTTATTGCTTTAATTAGCATGGCGAGATTTGAAGACATTATAACAAATTAAGAGTAATGCAGAAAGAGAGTGTGCTGATAGAAGAGACTGTGAGGTAGAGGACTGTTGGTGTCTGGAAGTCTGCCTCAGGGTCCTACTGTCCCCATTGTTAGCCGCTGATCTTCCCCTTCTCTAACCTGCAAGCGGTGGCTTGATTCAGAATTCTTACACCAGCGATCATTAATGGCACGGTTTTGTGTCATTTGTTACTGGAAGAGAGTAACAGCTCAGAACCAGTGCACCGTCGAGAAGCAGACCTCCTCATCCCTCAGTGTGGAATGGCCTTTAGCACTACAGACGGCCATCTGCTAATCACGCATCTCTTATCTGTGCTATAGAGTATTTTTGAGAAAGGGTGTAGCTCTGGTCAAACACAAACTTGTTATATAGGCCAGGTTGGCCTCTTAACTCTGGTCCATCTGCCTCTGCCTCACTAGTGCTGGGACTAAAGGCTTGTACTACCACGACCAGCTGTGATATGGAATCTTATAATTTTGAAAAGATTCACATCTTACTACATGAGAAGAGCTCATGGTTCTGAGTTTTAGTAGAGGTCTTGCCCTACCATAAAGTGTGTCCTCAGCTGAGCGTCCTCCTTCTCTGTTTCGGATCGAGACCGGGTCTTTATGACAGATCTTCCAGGCAGGTGCAGCAGGTGATGTTAACCCCCTTTACATGTAAAAGCAATGAAAAATCAGGCCCAGATCCACAACAAGCCTCCAGGCCGTGCTTCCTGGATACAACCCAATTTATCCAATGTTGTTGGAAGGAAGGAAGGAAGGAAAAGAAAGAAAGCCGAGCAAGTTAGGGCCATCTAGTCAGTAAACAGTGCTCCTCTGTGGTCTTTGTATTCAGTTCTGCCTCCAAGTTCCTGCCTGGGGTGAGACAGCCTGTGTCCACCCTCTCTTGCCACCTTTGTGTTCTGGGGATTGTTGAACTTGGGTCGACCAGGCTTTTATCTGTATGTGTATCTGTGCAGCATGTGTGTCTGGTGCCTTTCGAGGTGAGAAGACATTGGGTCCTCTGCAATTGGAGTAATAGACATTTACAGGCCATCATGTAGTTAGTTGCCGGAGGTTAAACCTAGGTCCCCAGGAAGGGCTTTCTACTTACTCCTATAATGGCTATGCTAATTTATATTCCCACCAGCACTGTATGAGGAGAAACAGGTTTCTCTCCACCCTGGGTACTGGGATCACAAGTGTGAACCGCCATGGCTGCGCTATGAGGCACTCAGGATCAAAGGCAGGCCTTCATGGGAGACAGGGGAGCCCTTTTCCGGCTGAACCTCCCCAGCCCTGCTGTCTGTCTGTTTGTTATCATTATTTAAATAAATTTTTTATTTATGTGTACAAGTATTTGGCCTGCATGTGTATCTGTGCACCACTTTGTGAAGGAAGGCCCACAGAGGGCACTGGAATGGAAATTACAGATGGTTGTAAGCTGCCCTGTTGGCGTGGGAATTGAACCGATATCCTCTGGAAGATCAGCTTATTCTCTGAACTGCTGAAGTATCTCTCCAGTCCTGCTGTTTTTGGGTGACACCCCACTCCATGCTGGCTCATTTCTCATCATGCTCCCTCTGGCTTTTCTTGAGTGGAGGAAAATGTAGAGCACTTTTTTCATTGGTGTGTTCCCTGCCAGGAGGGGCTGGTGGGGAAGGGTTTGTTCTCTTACTCTTGTTTGGTGCCTTTTGCCTTAGGGTTTAGAGCTGTGAGTCTGGAAGAGAGGATCCTTGTTTTTCTTTTCTTTTCTTTTTTTTTTTTTTTTTTTTTTTTTTTGGTTTTTCAAGACAGGGTTTCTCTGTGTAGTCCTGGCTATCCTGGAACTCACACTCTGTAGATCAGGCTGGCTTCGAACTCAGAAATCTGCCTGCCTCTGCCTCCCAAGTGCTGGCATTAAAGGCGTGCGCCACCACTGCCTGGCCAGAAGAGAGGAAGGATCCTTGAATGAGGTTTTAGCTAGTGACCCTTTGAGGCTCTCAGCTTGCTCCCTGAACTGGTAGTAGACTTCTGGCATCTATGGAGAAGGCTGTAGCACTGAGGGGCCTGTTGTGGGGCTTGCGCAGTGTGTTCAGTATTCGTTCTCACTAGTACTGAGGAAGAGGAGGCTGTCAGAATCAGTATCTATGCTGCCTCAGACTCAGCAGGTCTGCAGGTCATTCTGCTTATGGTTTTTTTTCTCCCTCTAGTTTGTCCTGAAGAATTATGGAGAGAACCCAGAAGCCTACAGTGAGGAATTAAAGAAGCTGGAGTTACTCAGACAGGTAGGAGAAGGTATTTTTATGTAGGGCCAAATTTAATTTGTTTGCTAAAGAGGTTTGAAAGAAACAAAACAAAACATAACTCTACATTCTACTGTGGTCATATTTGGATTTAGGGTTGTCTGTCTGTCTGTCTGTCTATAAAAGCACCAGAATAAAAGGGAGTTCATTTTACTGTCTTTTATGGAGGGTTTCAATGTCGTTCAGGCTGGTCTTGCTTCTGTCCCAAAAGTTCTGGGATATAGGTATTGTTTCTTTATGTTTAAATCTTAGTTATTTTGCTATACTGGGGATTGAACTCATGTCTTCAGGTTTGGCAGCAAGTATTTTTACCTGCTAAGCTGTCTAACTTGTCTGTTTTTGAGCCATAATCTCACGTAACCCACAGAGGTCTAGACACAGTGTATGCAGCTGAAGATGATCTTGAAGTTTTGACCCTCCTACTTCCTCATCTCAAGTGCTGAGATGACAGGTGTGCACCACCTGGTTCTGTGGTACTCGGGTCAGGCCCAAGGTTTTGTGGGTGCCAGACAAGCAGTCTACCACCTAGGTATCCTCACACTCCATTGTTCTTTGTTTAAGACTGGTTTTCTCTGTGTAGCCCTGGCTGTCCTGTGTAAACCAAGCTAGTTTCAAACTCAAAGAGATCTTTGAGTTCTGTGTTCCAAGCACTGGGATTAAAGGCATGCACCAAGAGAACTGGCTGGCCCTTATCCTTAGTGGTACAAGCTGTAGGCTAACCTGGGCCACTATGGGTACTGGGATTACAGACATCTATGGCAGCTCTCATTTTAGATACTTCTGGAGCTGGAAAGATGGTTCAGTGGTTAGAGTTCACACTGCTGATGTGGTCATGCACATTTGTAACCCTAGTGCTTGGCAGGGGGTAAAGGGTGGGAAAGTGGAGATAAGTAGCCAGTCCAGCCAGGTGGAGAGCTCTGGGTTTCCTGAGAGACTCTCTTTCAAAAGACAAGGTGGCAAGTGACCGTAGAAGATATCTGATGTCAGCCTTGGGTACATGCACCTGCACACACGTGTGCATATGTTCCTTCTACATACACGCAGAAATCACTTCACTACCCATAAATAATTACTGTCAGCATTTTGAGCTATAGTCATCTGATTCCCCCCCCCCCCCGTTTTGGTCTGTATATTTATTTGTATATTATATGCTTTTACAGAAATAAGATCACATTATATTCATCTGATGGGGTTTTTTTTGTTTTTTTGGTTTTTTTGCCTAGTAGCATGTCATTGAAATCTTAGTATATCCATAGCAACCTTTGTCTTTAGTTTAACTGTAGACTATTGTGTGAGTAGCCTTGACATAAGTCATGTAAACAGTCTTCTTTAATGAAAAGTCTTGTATCATCCAGTTTTGTAATCTGGCAGTGTTGTGAGAAGTGCTTTTGTATGCACATTCAAGGATTTTCTTCTTTGTCTTGGACATGTGACCCCCCCCCACACACACACACATCATTTTTTAATGCAGGGTCTCATGTAACTCAGGCTGTTTCAAATTTGCCCTGTAGCCAAGAATGGCCTTAAACAACTGTTCCTCCTGCCTCCTGGTTCCGGGATACAGCCGTGACTGTACAGTTTTAGATGAAGAACTGTGGATCAAGCTGGAGTAATGTCTCAACACTTGAGGGCACTGCTGCTCTTCTAGAGGACTCAGTTTCAATTCCCAGCACCCACATGGCAGCTTACAGCCATATACAGCTCCAATTCCAGGGAAGCCAATGCCCTCTCCTGGCCTCCACAGATACCAGGCATGCATGTGGTGTACATACATGCAGGCACAACACCTATACACATAAAATAGTATTTTTTAAAAGTAAAAAGTTAAATACAGTAAAAAATTTGAAGCACATTACAGAATATCTTCTAGAAATGTGGGACAGACTCATTCTGCTAGTCTTGGCTGCCAGAATTGTGTATCCGATAGCTGTGGGCATAGAAAGGACTTTCTCTGGAATTCTAGTGAGGATGAGCCTCTTTCTTCCATCCTGCTTCCCAGAATGCTATTCGTGTTGCCCGGGACTTTGAGGGCTGCAGTGTCCTTCGAAAGTACCTTGGCCAGCTACACTACCTACAGAGTCGGGTACCAATGGGCTCAGGCCAGGAGGCTGCTGTTGCTGTCACCTGGTGAGTGCTGGTAGGCCGGGCGGGAAAGTCGAGAGCTTAGAAGACACTCGGACAGCTGGGGTGCCTGGTGACAGGCATGACCCTTTCCCCTGTCTTCTCCCCTTGATGCACAAGACGGGGAGTGGGTTAGTGTGATCTCCCATAGACCCCTGTGTCATACTGGGGTAGTTGGTCCCTTCCCCTGACCTGTGGGCCCAGGGCAACTCCCACTGTCTGTATGACTGAGATGGCTGGAATGTCTGCAGGACTGAGATCTTCTCGGGCAAGTCTGTGGCCCATGAAGACATCAAGTACGAGCAGGCCTGTATTCTCTACAACCTCGGTGAGCTGCTTGGTCCTTCCATGGGCCCTCCTCCTAGCCCTGTCAGCCCAGAGTCACAGTTCATTAGGTCAGATGGTCAAAAAGGCTATGGGTGAATGAAAAGAAGAAGCCTGGGTTCTAACCCCTCCCCCATTTCTGACACAGCTACACAGGCACTTGTGCTGTTTTCTGGGGCCTTGGGAAAGGCCCTGTTTAAAGGACTACTCTGCTGGGCTGACTATCACAAAAGGCGTCACTGTGGACTTACTCCAGTAGGGAGCATGGCCTCCCTTTGCCTGGATAGTATTACCCCCACTCCTCAGTGAATGGCTTTAGATCGCCTCAGGGAGGGAGGACAGAGCTGGCCTTAGACTGCCCTTCAAGTCAGCTGTGCTGGTGGCTGAGGGAGAGAATGGGGGCTCCTCCCTGCTTTACCCCAGCCAGGTGCATAACTGGAGAAAGGATTTGGCTAGGTTTGTGATTGTTCTTCCTTGGGAATCCTTGCACTGACTGCCCAGGTATCAGACCTGTTTCTCTGACTGGATGACAGCAGTACCTACCCCTCAGCTTCAGTCTCAGCACAGGAGCAAGCAGCCTGGGAATATCCCCAGGTTTTCCTAACAGTGTCCCCTGCCTCTCTAGGTGCACTGCACTCCATGCTGGGGGCTATGGACAAGCGGGTATCTGAGGAGGTGAGGACTGGGGCGGGCGCTGGTCATGTGGATGTTCTATGGAGTGAGGGCTTTGAGTGTCCTGAGCCGCCGGAGTTTGAATGTTTCCTGTCTTTACGGAAGTGACGTCTTCACCTCTCCCCTCCCAGGGCATGAAAGTCTCCTGCACCCACTTCCAGTGCGCAGCAGGTGCCTTTGCCTACTTGCGTGAGCACTTCCCACAGGCCTTCAGTGTGGACATGAGTCGCCAGATCCTCACCCTGAATGTCAACCTCATGCTGGTGAGGAGGAGTGCCCGGGAGAGCCAAAGTGCTTTTGTTTCTGTTTTGAGATAGGGTCCTATTCTGTTGCCCAGGCTGGTCTGAAACTTGATGTGTAGCCCATGCTTGATTCTAAATCATGGCTAATCCTCCTGTCTCTGTCTTTTTGGAGTTAGTCATGAGCCACCACCCCTACCTTTAAGTTGACTTGGAGAAGAAATGACTAAGGGAGAAGGCAGTTCCCTCTAGATCCTAGGCCAGCCATGTGCCTGCATTGGGACTTTTGAGTTTCAGAAAGAGCAGGCACAGTGTGTTAATTCTGGGGGAGACTAGAGGAGAGGGGTATTTTGGCCTGTCCCTTGGTTCCCAGGAAGGAAAGGACGTTCAGGTGACCTGTACTTGTTGCTCCAGGGCCAGGCTCAGGAGTGCCTTCTGGAGAAGTCCATGCTGGACAACCGGAAGAGCTTTCTGGTGGCCCGCATCAGTGCACAGGTAGGAAGTGGGCTAAGGGTGGGCAAGTTGCTCCGCCCCTGGTCCTTGGTGACTGGACTCATCCCAACTCCTAGGTGGTAGATTACTATAAGGAGGCCTGCCGGGCCTTGGAAACCCCTGAGACTGCTTCCCTGTTGGGCCGCATCCAGAAAGACTGGAAGAAACTTGTCCAAATGAAGATCTACTACTTTGCAGCTGTGGCTCATGTATGGTGAGGGGTTGCTGGGTGTGGGGTGAGCCAGATGACTGTAACCTAGGAGACAGGTCATGACGCTTACCCCTTTTTCCCAGCTGCACATGGGGAAGCAGGCTGAGGAGCAGCAGAAGTGTGGGGAACGGGTGAGTGGACTGTGGGTAAGGGGGCAGCACTGAGCATGTGCTCTGGGGTTTTATGGCTGTCTTTATGTCATGTTGGAACTGGTCCTCTCTGCCCACCCTTGTCCCTGGTCGTCCTCCCCACACCACGTGCCAAGTCATCACTACCTTGCAGCCCGCGTTTTTAAGGCTCTCGGGAGACATGGTGGGCTCCCCACAGGGAGGATGGCTCTTCAGAGGTGTAAGCTAACGTGGAGCTGTTTGGGGGCTGTTGGCTTGGCTGGCATCTGCTACCCGAGATGCTGGTCTTCTGGTCAGTGATGGGATCGTCAGGTAGAATGAAGTGGGGATATGGAACATGAGGGTCTGAGCAGGGGAGGACAGACCAGGTTTTGCCCTCCACAGGTGGCTTACTTCCAGAGTGCCCTGGACAAGCTTAATGAAGCCATCAAGTTGGCCAAGGTAAAGCTGAACCCACGTGGCTGCCCTTCAGAGCCATGAAGGAAGAGCTAGCTGACCTGACAGATCCCAGCACTGGCCTGATGATCTCTTCTTATCTCTACCCCACAGGGCCAGCCTGACACCGTGCAAGATGCACTGCGCTTTGCTATGGATGTCATTGGGGGAAAGTGAGTGTGTGGGACTAGGGTGGTTATCCTTGCATTCTTGGGAGGGAGCTAACAGTGCCTTGGGAATCTAGTTTTTGGGTCCTTGGTAATTTGTCCCCTCCCCATTCCTGATTGATTCCCAGATATAATTCTGCCAAGAAGGACAATGACTTTATCTACCATGAGGCTGTGCCAGCACTGGATACCCTTCAGCCTGTGAAAGGTCTGAGAGCTGAGGGGAAGCTGAGGAGTGGGGTTGGCAGAAGATGGGATAGGGAGGAGGCTGCCGTGAGCTTTCATATGGGCCTGATCACTGTGGTGCTCCCTGCTCTTAGGAGCCCCCTTGGTGAAGCCCTTGCCAGTAAACCCCACAGACCCAGCTGTTACAGGTCCTGATATCTTTGCCAAGTTGGTACCCATGGCTGCCCACGAGGCTTCATCACTGTACAGGTGGGTAGGAGGGACTGGCCCTCTTCTTGGCAGAGAGGCTCTCTCTGCCAAGAATACAGGTCTCTAGCAACTGCTCTGTTTACTCCATAGTGAGGAGAAGGCCAAGCTGCTTCGGGAAATGCTGGCCAAGATTGAAGATAAGAATGAGGTCCTAGAGTAAGTACGGAACAAGTGGTGGGGGTCAGTACATACCAGGTTTCTGCCTCCCTGCCCAGAGTCTAGATCTAGACTGTAGGTGTTAATGTGCTGTGGAGGCACCACTTGTATCAGTGCCTGGGTATAGCCTACTAGGCCATGTGGTATTAGGTGAGGTAAAGGTTACAGTTTTCTCTCTGCTAAGTCTTCAGTCAAGTTTTAGTGGAGGGGGTCAACCTAGCAGGCTCTTTATGTGGAAGGAATTGAGCCAGCCAGCATCCATCTGATGTTGTTGTCACCCCTCTTCCGTCCCTAGTCAGTTCATGGACTCCATGCAGCTTGACCCTGAGACGGTAGATAACTTGGATGCCTACAACCACATCCCACCCCAGCTCATGGAGAAGTGTGCAGCACTCAGTGTCCGGCCTGACACTGTCAAGAACCTTGTCCAGTCTATGCAGGGTGAGCAAAGCACACAGCAGACATGCAGGGGTAGCATGCAAGCCATCTGCCATGGCCTCCCCCACTGAGGATGCTGGTGAAGCCCTGGCCCAGGCATGTACCACCCAGATGTTTCCGTGGATCACTTCCTGTGTTTGTGGCGTTAGCAAGTGCTGGGAAACAAGCTCTAATCTAAGTGGGCATTTCAGTGTCTTGGGGGCAGAAGGCAGAGTGATACCTGGTCTACCTACCTCAGTGTCTACCCTCAATCCACCTCAGTGCTGTCAGGGGTGTTCACGGATGTGGAGGCCTCCCTGAAGGACATCAGGGATCTGCTGGAAGAAGATGAGCTGCAAGAGCAGAAACTGCAGGAGACCCTAGGCCAGGCTGGGGCTGGCCCTGGCCCCAGCCCCTCTGTTGCCAAGGCTGAGCTCACAGAGGTGAGGAGAGAATGGGCCAAGTACATGGAAGTGCATGAAAAGGCTTCCTTCACCAACAGTGAGCTGCATCGTGCTATGAATCTGCATGTGGGTAACTTGCGCCTGCTCAGTGGACCACTGGACCAGGTGCGGGCTGCCCTACCCACACCAGCCCTCACCCAAGGTAAGCCCCGCCCATTGCTAGGGGGAAAGGCTTGGAACTAGGGTTTCTTCGACCTCACTGACTGCTGCTACCCTCAGAGGACAAGGCCGTGCTGCAAAACCTAAAGCGCATCCTAGCCAAGGTGCAGGAGATGCGGGACCAGCGTGTATCCCTGGAACAGCAGCTCCGAGAGCTGATCCAGAAGGATGACATCACTGCCTCCCTGGTCACCACTGACCACTCAGAGATGAAGGTGGGTTGGATGAGCAGCGAGAAAGGGCTCTGCTTGTGGGCTTCTCCTTAGGTGGTATTGTCCCCATCTTCCCTCAGAAACTGTTTGAGGAACAACTGAAGAAGTATGACCAACTGAAAGTGTACCTGGAGCAGAACCTGGCCGCCCAGGACAATGTCCTCCGTGCACTGACTGAGGCCAATGTGCAGTACGCAGCTGTGCGGCGGGTGCTTAGTGAACTGGACCAAAAGTCAGTACCTGCTTTTGTTCTTACCCGGCTCTATCCAGAGCTCTGTCCCTACAGCTTGCCTCAATCTGGCTTTTTGTTTTGCCCACCAAGGTGGAACTCCACATTACAGACCCTGGTAGCATCCTATGAAGCCTATGAGGACCTGATGAAGAAGTCCCAGGAAGGCAAGGACTTTTATGCAGACTTGGAAAGCAAGGTAGCCACCCTGCTGGAACGGGCACAGTCCATCTGTCGTGACCAAGAGGCCGCTCGCCAGCAGCTTCTGGACAGGTAGATATGGGCTTTAGGTTTCACTGTAGTAGATTGAGCCCATGCCAGCCTGGCTTATGGAGGCTGGCCTTTCTTCCCCTGTCTGTCCCTTAGAGAGCTGAAGAAGAAGGCACCACCACCTCGGCCTACAGCCCCAAAGCCATTGCTGTCCCGCCGAGAGGAGGGGGAGGCAGTGGAGGCTGGAGACCCGCCTGAGGAGCTCCGCAGCTTGCCCCCTGACATGATGGTCGGCCCACGGCTGCCTGACCCATTCCTAGGATCTCCTGCCCCTCTCCACTTTCCTCCTGGCCCCTTCCCTAGTTCCACAGGCCCAGCCACCCACTATCTCTCAGGACCCTTACCCCCTGGAACTTACTCAGGCCCCACTCAGCTGATGCAGCCTAGGGCTGCAGTGCCCATGGCACCTGCAACGGTCCTCTACCCAGCCCCTGCCTATACATCAGAGCTGGGCCTTGTACCCAGGTCCTCTCCTCAGCACGGAGTTGTAAGCAGTCCCTATGCAGGGGCAGGGCCACCCCAGCCAGTCGTCGGTCTTCCCTCTGCTCCACCTCCCCAGTTCTCAGGACCTGAGTTAGCCATGGCAGTCCGGCCAGCTACCACCACAGTAGATAGTGTCCAAGCCCCTATCTCTAGCCACACAGCACCACAGCCAAACCCTACCCCGGCTCTTCCCCAGCCCTGCTTTCCAGTGCCTCAGCCTGTACCCCAATCTGTTCCCCAACCGCAGCCTCTGCCCACACCCTATACTTACTCTATAGGGACCAAGCAGCACCTCACAGGCCCTCTGCCACAGCATCACTTTCCTCCTGGGATCCCCACAGGCTTTCCAGCTCCCAGAATTGGGCCCCAGCCACAGCCACAGCCCCAGCCACAGCCACAGCCACAACCCCAGCCTCAGCCTCAGCCACAGCTCCAGCCCCAGCATCATCCCCAGCCACAGCTCCAGCCCCAGCATCATCCCCAGCTACAGCCACAGCCACAGCCACAGCCACAGCCTCAGCCTCAGCCTCAGCCTCAGCCTCAGCCTCAGCCTCAGCCTCACCCTCAGCGGCCAGCATTTGGGCCACAACCCACACAACAGCCCCTTCCATTCCAGCATCCACATCTCTTCCCATCTCAGGCCCCAGGGGTTCTTCCACCACCACCCCCCTACCATTTTACTCCTCAGCCTGGTGTCTTGGGACAGCCACCACCCACCCTGCATACCCAGATCTATCCAGGCCCATCTCAAGACCCTCTACCCCCACACTCAGGGGCTCTGCCTTTCCCCAACCCTGGGCCTCCTCATCCTCACCCCACTCTGGCATATGGCCCTGCCCCTTCTCCTAGGCCCCTTGGTCCTCAGGCAACCCCTGTTTCCATTCGAGGGCCCCCACCAGTCAGGCAGCCCGCCCCTAGTCCCCACTTGGTGCCTTCACCTGCCCCATCGCCAGGGCCTGGTCCAGTACCTTCAAGACCCCCAACAGCAGAGCCACCACCATGTTTGCGCAGAGGTGCTGCAGCTGCAGACCTACTGTCTTCTAGCCCTGAGAGCCAGCATGGAGGCACTCAGCCTCCTGGGGGCGGGCAGCCCTTGCTGCAGCCTACCAAGGTAGATGCAGCTGAGGGCCGTCGGCCACAGGCCCTGCGGCTAATCGAGCAGGACCCCTATGAACATCCTGAGAGGCTGCAGCAGTTGCGGCAGGAGCTGGAGACCTTTCGGGGGCAGCTGGGGGATGCAGGGGCACTGGACACCATCTGGAGAGAGTTGCAGGAGGCACAGGAGCAGGATGCCCGAGGCCGCTCTATTGCCATTGCCCGCTGTTACTCCCTGAAGAACCGGCACCAGGATGTCATGCCATATGACAATAACCGTGTGGTCTTGCGCTCAGGCAAAGATGACTACATCAATGCTAGCTGTGTGGAGGGCCTCTCGCCATACTGTCCACCCTTAGTGGCCACCCAGGCTCCGCTGCCTGGCACAGCTGCAGATTTCTGGCTCATGGTTCATGAACAGAAAGTGTCAGTCATTGTCATGCTGGTGTCTGAGGCTGAGATGGAAAAGGTAAGCGCCTAGATGGGTATCCGGGAGGGAAGCTGGGAGTGGGGAGGGAAAGCTAGCCTTGTCTTGTCTACCCTTCAGCAAAAGGTGGCACGCTACTTCCCCACTGAGAGGGGCCAGCCCATGGTGCACGGAGCCCTGAGCGTGGCCCTGAGCAGTATCCGTACTACCGATACCCATGTGGAGCGAGTGCTGAGTCTGCAGTTCCGGGACCAGAGCCTCAAGCGCTCTCTTGTGCACCTCCATTTCCCTACTTGGCCTGAGTTGTACGTTCACTGTTCTACATGATAGGGTCAAGGGCAAACTCCTTGGGTGCTTAGGGGTGAAGGCCTCACATCAGGCCTGGTTCATACCTGCACTTTCTCTTCAGAGGCCTGCCAGACAGCCCCAGCAACCTGCTGCGCTTCATCCAGGAGGTGCATGCACATTATTTGCACCAGCGACCCCTGCACACACCTATTGTTGTACACTGCAGGTAGGGAGCCGACAGCTGCTGGGGGGAGGCTTTGTACCCTATGGGCTCTTAGCCTGGCCTTATACTTGCTTCTTGTCACAGCTCTGGGGTGGGCCGCACTGGAGCCTTTGCGTTGCTCTATGCAGCAGTGCAGGAGGTCGAGGCTGGGAATGGGATCCCCGAGCTGCCTCAGCTGGTGAGGCGGATGCGGCAGCAAAGGAAACACATGCTGCAGGAAAAAGTGAGTGGGTGGCTTGGGCTGAGTTGGGTCTTGCTTGCCCTTGGTGAGGATGGCCCTGCCCAGCTGACTAGACCAAATGTGTGTCTCTAGCTCCACCTCAAGTTCTGCCATGAGGCGTTGGTGAGACATGTGGAGCAGGTCCTCCAGCGCCATGGTGTGCCTCCTCCTGGCAAGCCTGTGGCCAGCATGAGCATCAGCCAGAAGGTGAGGGCACTTCCCTAAGGGCTGCTGGGATGCTCACAACCCAGTGAAACTCTTCTTACTAGCTCTCCCTTCTCAGAACCACCTTCCTCAGGACTCCCAGGATCTGGTCCTTGGTGGAGACGTGCCCATCAGCTCCATTCAGGCTACCATTGCCAAGCTCAGCATCCGGCCTCTAGGTGGCTTGGACTCCCCAGCTCCCAGCCTTCCAGGCCTTGTGGAACCCCCAGGTCTCCCAGCAGCCAGCCTTCCAGAGCCTACCCCTGTCCCACCTTCCTCGCCTCCTCCCCTCTCTTCGCCTTTGCCTGAAGCCCCCCAGCCAGAGGAGGAGCCGTCAGTGCCTGAAGCCCCCAGCTTAGGGCCCCCCTCATCATCCCTGGAGCTGTTGGCCTCTCTGACTCCAGAAGCATTTTCACTGGACAACTCTTTACGAGGAAAGCAGCGGATGAGCAAGCAGAACTTTCTGCAGGCCCACAACGGGCAGGGTCTAAGGGCTGCCCAACCTACAGATGATCCCCTCAGCCTCCTGGATCCACTCTGGACACTTAACAAGACCTGAAAAGGCTTTGTCTATCTGGTCCTTACACTACACCCCCCATCCCTGCTGCCTTCCGCTCTACCAGATGGAGATGCACTGCAGGCCTCAAGTCAGGCTCTGCTCCTTTGTGGAACCTGACATTTTTCCAGCCCTGGGCTACTGAAATAATAAACTTATTCTGTGGCCAGTGTCTGAGTTCACCTACTGCTGCCTTGGGAGTGCCAAAGGCCCTTTCCCTTTGCTGTGCCTATCCCACATTTCTTGGACAGCTCTGAGAAGGGTCTAGGAGTAGAGTGGAATGACAAGCGCCTCAGCCCCTGGTAAATGTGTTTTTTTAAAAAAGTTTATTATTACAGCCAGGAGACAACAGTTCAGAGTCAGCTGCAAAGAAGATGTCTAGCTATTGCCTCCAGTCTAGGTCCAAAGAGTTACTGTCCCCCATGCCCCACCTTGGGATGGGAGAAAGGGAGCAGTGTAGCTGACCTGCCTTTAGTCCAGTTTCTCCAGCACAGAGGGCACATACACTAGGCTGAGCTCAGTGCCAAAGTTGCAGACAATGGCAGCATTGTCCAGTACCAAAATCTGCCGAGCAGGCTGGGCTTCACTGTTCTTGCCCAAGTAGACTGTCTGTAACAGGTCCCCATAGTTTAGGTCCCAAAAGGAGACACAGCCTTGGCCACCGGTCACCAGAAGGTTATCAGAGATGACACCTAAGCTTGCACCACAGCCCAGGTCCTGGAGGCAAAGCCAGAAGAGGTCTTCAGTGTTGGGTGTTCAATCCCCCAAACACCAACAGCCTATACCCCGCCTGCTCACCTGCTGAATGGAGTACAGCTTGATGCCCGTGCTGCGGTCCCAGATATTGATGAAGTCATCCAGGCCACTACTAATGACACAGGAAGTGGTACAGGTGAGGGAGGTAACATCTCCACGGTGAGCAAATGTATGGCTGACCCGGCTGCCTGTTAGTACATCCCACAGGCAGATGGCTCCGTCTTGTCCTCCACTGGCCAGTACCATGGTCTAGGGAAAGAGGCCCAAGGAACTCAGTCATGGGTAATGTGCCTTTATCAACAAGAGCATCTTCATCCAGCAGCCAACCCCCCAGGCCCCCCACAGGTCCCTTACCTGATCAATGTACACAGTTGTGATTGCCCCTGAGTGACCCTGCAGGGTAAAGAGGCAACACGAATCCTCCAGTCGGAAGACCTAGGACAGAGAGGATAGGCTCTGGTCTCTGGGACTTTTTAAGGTACTCGTTTGAGCCAGGAAATGCTTTCCATCATTCCTCTAGGACTCCTAGCATGGTCCCTCCTCCTCACCCCCTTTCCAGCTCACCAGTACCCAGAGATAAACAATACACACTCTTAGAGTATGGTCTTGGCTCCCCGTCACCAGGCGCCTGGCAGCAGCTCTCAGGGCTGTGATGGGCTTCTGGTGTGCGCAGGGCACTGTGTGGGTCAGATGACAGGCCACTGTGTCGCTGCTACTGCTGTACACAGACGAGGAAGGAGAGCTGCCTCGCCCTGGGGGCCCTAAGGAGACAAACTCAGTGAGGGGATACTTAAAAGGCATCTTGCCCTCACACCCATATATAATGCCTGCTGACCCCAGGCCCACTGACCTCTGAACTGCAGGGGGCTGAGGGAAGTGTGGGTCTCCAAGGAAAAGAAATCGAGGGAACCGTTAAGCCGAGCAGCTACAATCCTAGAAGAGAAGGACAGGAAGACTATAGCTTCAAGGGGATGTGCCATAAGATGGCACCAGAGCTGGAGGCTGCCACTTACCAACTCAGCCTCTTTAAGCCTTGCCTTTTTATAAAATGGGGCTTAACAGTCCACACATCCAAGTGGTTGTGAAGGTTAAATGAGCTAATAACTCATAATGTGGTAGCTGGTGTCACAAACACTTGTAAATCAATATAAAAAACGGGCTGGAGCAATGGCTCAGCACTTTCTTTTTTTTCTTTTTTCTTTTTCTTTCTGGCTTTTCGAGACAGGGTTTCTCTGTGTAGCCTTGGCTGTCCTGGAACTCACTCTGTAGACCAGGCTGGCCTCGAACTCAGAAATCAGCCTGCCTCTGCCTCCCAAGTGCTGGGATTAAAGGCGTGCACCACCACCGCCCAGCGGCTCAGTACTTTCAAGAGCATCTGCTCTTGCAGAGGAGTCAGTTTCAGTTCCCAGCACCCACACAGCAGCTCTTGATCATCTGGAACTCCAGTCCCAGGGAATCTGATGCTCTCTTCTGCCCTCCATAGGCAACTAGGCTCATGGTACACATTAATACACACAGACTAAAGAACAATAAAATGAATCTAGAACATCCTTTGAAAAGACAGCAGATGGAGGGAAGGTTCCCCTGGAGCTTTAGGGTCAGAACTAGGTCAGTTCTGAGGAAGGGATTGAGGTGAAGATGTGCCATGAAGCCACCATAGAGGGCTGCTGCAGTCTTTTATGACAGAAGTCATCTTGAACCTGAGTATATAGTCTACTTGTTTTCCTTTATCCACATAAGATTTTCTTTGTTCCCAAGAATTCTTAGGCACAAGCTGCAGACACAGGCAGGAATCTTTGCCAATGGCTCCTACAATCACAAATCTGGTGAGTCCTGAAATCTTGTCCCAGCAAATGGCAGTATATGTGTACACCTTCTGCCCATGGCCATCAAAAAGGCTCATCTGGGACTCCATGATGCACAGGAAGGTGAAAGCATGGTCATCAGGGACTTTAAAGGTCAGGGACCTGAGCACTTCCTAGAGCTGGAGAGCAAGCAGCAGGGAGGCGTCCCAACACGCTCAGGGCGGTGAGGATGGAGTTCCAGTGGTGGCAGGAAGAGATGGCAGCAGACAAAATGGAGAGAGCCAGAGTTCCCCTGAAGTTTCCCCCCCATCCCCCAAAAGGCTCCCTCTCTAGCTTGGATGGTGAAATCAACAGTCAGGAACCCTTGGGAGAGCCATCGTGGAACAGGCAGGTAAACTGAGTTCGTAAATCCAGGTAAGGCCAAAGCTCAGGAACTAGGATACCTCTCCTCCAACCATGATGTGTACAGAAGCCCATGGTGGTATGAGGGGCAAGCAGCACAGAGGGAAAGGAGGACAGAGTAAGCAAACAGACTTATCAAGAAAGATGTTCTGAGCCCAAGTGTACATTTGTGTAATCTAACCCTTGAAAGGCTGAGGCAAGAGGATTGATTGCTTTAAGATTAGTCTGGGTGGGCTGGAGAGATGGCTCAGTGGTTAAGAGCCCTGACTGCTCTTCCAGAGGTCCTGAGTTCAATTCCCAGCAACCACACGGTGGCTCACAACCATCTGTAATGGGATCTGATGCCCTCTTCTGGTGTGCATGAAGACAGCAACAGTGTACTCAGACATAAAATAAGTAAATCTTAAAAAAAAAAAAAAATCTGAGGGCTATACAGTGAGTTTCTGGGCAGTTTACAAGGACCCTAAATGAGGGCTGGAGAGATGGCTCAGAGGTTGCCGGCTCAGGTTCAATTCACAGCACCCACAGGGCAGCTCACAACTGTCTACGGTCCCAGAGCCCTGCCTGACACACTCTTTTCTAGAATTTATAGCACCAAACACCTAAAAGCAAGCAAAATGCCTATTTAAAAACAAAAACCCTGAATACATTAAAAAAAAAAATAATGGGAGAAAAAAAAAGCACCCAAACTGAAACCTTGTTAAAAATAAAAATAAAATAAAATAAAATAAAGGTTCTGCAAACAATTTTCTGCAGCTGAAGACTGAAATATCCAGAGGGCCAGTATTCGCGATCCAGTGAGAGATACTGCCTTAGAAGGGTAGAAAGAAAACTCTACTCTGCGTTACCCTATGCCTGGCGCCTGCTTCAAAAACTTCACATTTTTAAAGTCACCACTTGAACCACCATGTCAACCAGAGACTGAATAAAAATAGGTCAAATCCCACACCAAGCAAAGAGGCCTCAAGCCTCAGATCGCTGTCTGCCGCTCACAGGTTGGGTAAAACATGGGGCTGCGACAGGCAGCCTGATAACTCACCTCCTGTCCAAGAAGACAAGGGCTGTGATGCCCGAGGAGGTCTCCTCATTGCTGCAGCAGAGCACCCCCTCAATGGCGTCCCACACCTGTGGAAACAGAGGCTGTGAGCACCCACTCCCCATGGGAACCCCCCAGCTCGGTGTGGGCAGCCACTCGGCACACCTCCAGCCGGCCGCTGCTCCGCCCAACCACGATGAGATTGCCTTGCAGCTCTAAGCTCCAGATGGAACCGGCTGTGCTAGGGGCCCAGGCCAGAGGAGGAGAGCCCTTCTCGGGAGAAGTCCCCTCTTCTTGAGAGGCCTGGAGCAAGGGAGGTCCAGGGGAGGGTGGGCGAAGGGCCGACATGCGCACAGCAGCCAGGCCTTCCTCCTGGTACACACGCTGCACCAGACGGCTGAAGTCATAACCAGAGTCTCTAGAGCGGCCACAGCCCGCCCGGTGCCGAGGCTCGGGCTGAGTGGGCTCTGGGGGCAGCTGCACCGAGAAGTTGGTGTCGATTAAGCAAGTGAGGTCTGGCTGGTCCCCAAAGAGAGAAGGCGGTGGAGGCCCTCGGGGGCGGCGTCGCAGCGGGGGGCTGTCCCCAGGCTCTTCCGGGCTAGCTTTGCCTCCATCGGACAGCCTTTCCCAGTTCTCCTGAGCTTCAAAAGCTCCGCCTCCGCAGCTGTCCCGGCGTCGCCTGGCCAGGATGAGGGGCACACAAGAGTATGAGCTGCGAGCGGAGCCTGTGAGAGCAGGCAAAGGCGGGGCCCACTCACGCTTACCCAGGGCGCGGGATCCGTGTGAGGCAGTCCCCGGTCTGTGCGTCCCACACGCAGACTTGGCCTGCCAGGCAGCAGCTCACGAGTAGCATCCCATCACTAGCCAGACACTCGATGTCCTGCGTGAGGGTGCTATGTTGACAAGGGCCAAGGCCGCGACAACCTGCTGTCCGCTGAATCCCACCCCACTCACCATGAGGTGCCCTCGCAGCACCAGCGGCACTATCTCCGTCTCAGGCGGTGCGTAGCCGTAGTCATCGCACGGCAGCTCCCCGCGCCTCCGCCTGCCGGGGCCACCACCCGGCTGCCCATAGTTACGCGGGCAGAGCACCCGGTAGAGGCAGAGCAGCAGCAGCACTAGGACGATGCCCGCTGCCAGGCCAAGCGCGGCCACCCTGTGCGCGACAGCAAA